CCGGGATGTCCAGTTCAGATTCTGGGGAACGGCTTCAGGATGACAGCGGCAGAGGCTGCGGTAGCATCGCGGTGAGGGTAGCGGGCATCGAGTTTGTGTGTGTGGCGTGGCGAGGGGCATCTGAACGATCATTTCCCAACGAGCATGGCAGGGAGGGAGAGCAAATGGTGGGATGGGAACTTCATCGTTGGCGAGACTGTCGATAGGGGGTAAAGGAAAGGGAGGCAAGGAAAGGGAACGTAAGAAAACGTGGAAGAGCAGCGCCGTGTGATCGGGTGAAGAGTGTGTCAGCCGTTGACGGATTTGTTTCAGATGACCAGGAAGACTGGACCAGCGAGCTCCAACTTTTGAAAGGTGTGTGTGTGACGGACGGGCACCGGCGTTGGGCTGAGCTGAAAGATGGATGTGGTGGTGGCATGTGGTGGCATTCGGCTGGTGGGCTTGGAGTCGTGGTACTTCGTATTGACTGAACCTTGTTGCAGTTGAGATGCGATCAAATCGAAATGTGTCAAAGGCAGGATAACTTGGAGTTGGAATGAGCAACTTGTAATGTAGAAAATACCCTGGTAATATTGAAGTACCAAGGTAGACAGGAGACTCGAAAATGGAAGCGCAAACGGCGACCCAAACGTTCCATTCCAGTGCCGTGGGACGTTCCCACAACGGACGGGCAAACGTTAGCTGCATGGCGGCATGGCGGCATTGCTTGCCTGCGTGGCACTCACTCCACTGATTTCCAGCGCATGTGCGCCATTCTTGCCTTGCCTTAGGGGATGCAATGCATGTACCATTATGTCAGCACCCGAGCCTGAGAACCTGGCACTTCCGTTGCGGGACGGATCCGAAGAGGCCCGGAAGCCCCTGCGGCCCGAGAAAATGGGTACGTATCTCTGGGAGCATGCATTTTTGATGCGACGGGAGCTTCCAGGTTCCCATGAAGCTATCGCAAGCTATCCCAAAGATCAATCTGGAAGACACCTACAACCCAACCACCAACCAAGCTACCAGATATCCAAACGTAAAGCTGTAATGGTCGCATAGTGGCGAATTTCAACCACCTTGAACCTCCTGTTCGCCCGACCCTCCCCCTCCAATCACGTCCACCTAGGGAAGCTTCGTAGCCACTGGTCGACTGACACGAGTCCTTCGTAGAAGAGAGTGTACAACATACAAGCCAAGCAAACCGGCCTTTACGATTCCAATCGCTTCGAATCATCGACCGACCAATTCAAAGAGAGCGCAAAGCTCGCAGCCCCCGATCCAGCCCGTAAAAGACTGTCACTACCACCGATTATACCTCGAGCAAAGAGTTCCCTCCCCGAAATGGCGCGCATACCGACCCGCGAGCTGGCCCGCTACCTCTTCAACGGTCAGCTCTCCCGCCAAGGCTGTTTGTCCTCGACCCGACGACCATACATCCGCCTGCCGGCCCGTTCCGCCCTAGCCCAGCCATCGGCTCCTCAGTTTGGAGAATCGAGGGCAACATACGCTACAGCGCAGACTGCGGCGGCAGCATCGCAAGAACCGCCGCCGGTACCCTTGAGGAAGAAGCTCAAGGAAGAGAAGAAGCAGCTCAAAAAGGAGACGAGAGGCCAAAAGCCAAAGGGAAGCACTCAGACAGTCGAGGGCTGGGAGTTGACCGTCGGCATTGAGATCCATGCTCAGCTCAACACGGCACGGAAACTCTTCTCGCCCGCTGCGACATCCTTCAATGATGACCCAAACTCCCACGTAGCGCTGTTTGATGTCGCCATGCCGGGCTCTCAACCGAGATTCCAGGAGGAGACTCTCATACCGGCGTTGCGCGCGGCGTGTGCTCTCAACTGCGACATTCAGCCCGTCAGCCGGTTCGACAGGAAACATTACTTTTGGTGGGACCAGCCGTCGGGTTATCAGATCACGCAGTACTACGAGCCCTTTGCTCGCAACGGCGAGATCGAGCTCACTGCCAGGGACGGCATCGCCGCAGAAGACGGGGAGAGTGTCACAATCGGCATCCAGCAGATCCAGATGGAGCAGGACACCGCCAAGACGCTGGCGCAGCCCAACGATGTCTCCTGGCTTGATTTCAACCGCGTAGGCATGCCTCTGATTGAGATTATCACGAAGCCGGAGCTCCACTACCCGCGCACCGCCGCCGTCTTCGTCCGCAAGATCCAGATGCTGCTGAATGCCGTAGATGCCTGCGTGTCCGGGATGGAGACGGGTGGTCTGCGTGCTGATGTGAACGTCTCGGTGCGGAGGACAGGTGATCCGAATACCCCGCTCGGTACGCGGACGGAAATCAAGAACCTGAGCACGATTAAGGCTGTTGAGGACGCCATCATCGCTGAGCGCGACCGGCAGATCAAGGCGCTCGATGCGGGCGAGACGATTGCGAGCGAGACGAGAGGTTGGACTCTGGGCTCCAAGCATACCCGCCGTCTGCGAGGCAAAGAAGGCGAGGTGGACTACCGCTACATGCCGGACCCTGATCTGGGGCCTCTAGTGATCGGTCAAGATCTCGTGGACCATATCAGGGCCTCCGTCAAGGAGCTACCTGACATTGAGCTGACGGAGCTGATTGAAAAATACGGCTTGACGGCCAAGGACGCTGTCTCCCTCATGTCACTCGACGATGGCGGCAGGCTCGAGTTCTTTTACAAGGTCGTCGACGAGCTCCGAGGTCAACTGGAGAGCGCGGGCCTGGAGACCAACCTGCACGATTACGCTTCCCTCGCCGGCAACTGGATCCTCCATGAGTTGGGTCGACTGACGACGGATAAGGCCGACCCGGATGCCGCTCAGCGAACCTTGGCGATCTCTCCAGATGGCTCCTGCGAAGCTGTACCGCATTCCGCACTGGCCGGGATCCTCTTCCATCTCCAGAAGCGGGATATTACAGGCAAGGTCGCTAAGGAGCTCCTGGTGGCTCAGTACCTTAGCAACCTCGACGAATTCGACTCGGTCACGGACGCCATTAAGACACACGAGTTGTGGTTCAAAGAGATGACGGAAGCAGAGTATCGGCAGCTGGCAGAGGAGGTTGTCGAAGGAGAGGACAAGGTCTTGAGGGAGTTCATGGACAAGAAGAAGAAGTACCCTCAGGGTAAGCTCATGTACCTCGTCGGCAAGATGATGCGCATCGGCGAGACGGAGCGGATCGACCCCTCGGGCGCTGAAAAAGTAATGCGTCAGCTCATCAAGGAGCGGACGGACGCGCATCAGGACTGATTTCTTTCTCTTTTGAGTCTCTTCTCTACCTGCCGGAGGGGAATATTTGACCCCGCGTACGTGCATCTAGGCACGCTATATTGTACAATGTATCATAACATCATAAGAACTCGATAATACGAGTGTAGGATAGCAGGGTATTTCCAGCCTCCCTTTTCCGTAGTCCCAAGAAACCTTTACTTTGGACTACTCGTTGACGCCGCCGGCCGAACGTCTAATTTACTCGGCATGAAACCAAAATTGATATTCTCCCTCTCCCTCACAAATCGCTCGATGCGCTCCTCCCGCCCCTTGCCAGCCACAGCCTGGCCCTGCCGTCTAAGCGCCTCGCTGATGTTGGCCTCGTGCGCGTTCTTCTTCTCGAGGAACGTCGCCGTGCTATTATCCATCCTTGTCGTTTGCGCCACTGTGCCCACCGCCAACGCCGCGAGGACCAGCGCCGCAAAGCTGGCGTTGGACATGTACATTGGCTTCTGCCTCTCATTCCCGCCGTTGGCCTGCCGTTCGTGCCACCGCTCCCAATCTTCCCAGGTCGCGTTCATGGCAGGGGAGTCACCGCCATTCCGCGCGTAGCCGTGGCGCCATGCTTTATCGGCGCGGCGGTAAACTTCGTTGATGTCTTCTGGCGCCGCTCCTGTCTTGCCGGGGATGTGCCAGCCGAAGCCCCAGGCGTCGTAGGCGCGGCGTTTGTCCGGGGAGCTGAGGATTTCGTTTGCAAGGACGATGAGGCGGTAGCGTTCTAGGCGGGTTGCTGCGGGCAAGGAATCGAGGGCTGTGGCGTGGTGTTTGTCTGGGTGGTATTGTTTTACGAGCTCCGCGAAGCGAGCTTTTGTGTAGGGTGCTGCCTTGTCTATTGCGAAGATATCGTAGGGGGTGGGGTTCTTGCAGGTTGGCCATGGGCTGCCGGTGCCGCCGTTGTTGCCTTTTGACGATCCATTGTGAGGGGGTTTGTGGTTTACTGTTGCGTAGGATCGTGGGGTTGAGGGTCGTGTGCTGTGTGAGGCGGGGTGTTCGCGGGATGGTCGTCGTGAGGGTGGTGACGTTATGGATGTGTGGTGTGCGGGGACGGCGAAAAGGTTCAGGACGTTGTTGCTGGAACAGATGGCGAATGCCGAGGACGTCTTGAGGACCATGGCTGCGGTTGAAGATGTAGTTTATCTCGGACGCGGATCTCAAGGAGGTTGAGGGGAAGGATCGAGGACGAGCATCGTTTGAGGTGTCGTCGTCGGGGTTTGTATAGAGGGAGCTCGGCGATGTAAGTGGCCTGGGGATTGAGAGAGTTTGGACGCCGGTGGTTCGACTTGCACCAACGGCTCATCCAATTGACGCATTCGTGCTCAGTGCTCAGCGCTCAGACTCCCAGGTGGTCTTCCTCCCAGGGCAGTTACTGCAGTCTGCCAGTGCTCCTCCCCAAGCCGATCCGATAGCTCCGCTGCAGGAAACGAGTGGAGCGGGGACGGAGAAGTACGTACTGTGAAAGAGTGAAAGAGAGGGATCAGGCCAATCGGCTGATGGAGGGCTAGCCGGGGTGAGCTCGGTAAGGGACGAATGGCATGGCGGGAGAAGCTCTCGGTGAGCTGGGTCGGGTCAATGTCACCACCCATGATCCAAGACCTACCCTGACACTTTCAGCACTTTGATCATTGTGGTGAGAGACATTGAGCATTTTAAGCTTATTCTGCATGTTTGCACCAAAACGGAACTTGATAGAATCACTCTTCAAAATCAGCAAGAGCTCCCGCGAGGCTCCTACCTGCTACATAAGATACTTACCTAACTGATGTAAGGGAGTACTTCCTTCGGCAAGAGAGGTCACGTGTCCCCACCTGCAACGCTAGACCAGGAAGGCAAGGGGTCCCGCCCCGACGACACAGCTGATGCGCACCGAATGTACTGGGACCGGGGGATTCACCACCACAAACTTGCTTCCAGGTCCCAGACGACTCTTCCTCCACACAACCACACACAACCACACTCCTCTCAACCACGCAAACCCAACCATCCCATACAATCCTCTTCGCGCTGCACCTCGTGGACGAAACACATTTTACGCTGTTTCAGTAGCCCGAGTCATCCACAGACGACACAAACATTTCGCAATCGCGCAACCCACGAACAACGCACCACAACCACGAACCACCAACCACATCCCTCGACTTTCCTGCACCGAAACTCTGCCCGAGTCTCGGTCATCCATCCACACTTCCAACCAGCTTCCCTCCGGCCACGGAACCCACGACGAAGCCCCACGCGACAAGTGACGATTCCGCGAATATCGAATATTCCTCAACGACGATCGCTCTTTTTTGCTGTCGTCGATTCCCACATTACCTGTCTGCTTTCTAATACCTACCGAGCACGACTCGCCCCTCGACTCACATCGCGAAGTGGGGAAAGCAAAGCCCTTTCGCGCAACAACCCTCAACGACCGCATCGCACCCTCTTCCCTTGCCTTTAGGCACATATTCCATAAATACACACTCAAATGGCGGAAGCACTCGCAGACAAGCTCAAGGCAACAAACTTGAGGTTTGTCCCCCTCCCCACCAACCTTCCAGGAACCCATGGTCGAAGGCATGTTGGACTGACTTTCGCAGCGATGGCGCCGCATCAGATGACTGGAAGAAGAGCTTGAACCTGCCTGCTAGGGACAACAGACAGCAGACTGAGGTATGTACGGGCAAGACCAACACCCCTTCCCTCATCACTTCCTAGGAGCCTACCTACTCACAAGCTTGCTCCCAGGATGTCACAAACACCAAGGGTCTGGAATTTGAAAACTTCCAATTGAAGAGAGACTTGTTGATGGGCATCTTCGAGGCTGGTTTTGAGAAGCCGTCGCCCATCCAAGAAGAAGCCATCCCCGTAGCCCTGACTGGTCGCGATATCCTCGCCCGTGCCAAGAACGGTACTGGAAAGACTGCCGCTTTCGTTATTCCCGCCCTCGAAAAGATCAACCCCAAGGTTTCCAAGATCCAAGCCCTCATCCTCGTCCCCACTCGCGAACTCGCCATGCAAACATCACAAGTCTGCAAAACTCTCGGCAAGCACCTCGGAATCAACGTCATGGTCACCACCGGAGGTACTGGTCTTCGAGACGATATCATCCGCCTCCAGGACCCCGTCCATATCGTGGTCGGTACCCCCGGTAGAATCCTCGATCTCGCGGGCAAGAACGTCGCCGACCTTAGCGAGTGCCCCATGTTTATCATGGACGAGGCCGACAAGCTTCTCTCCATCGAATTCACCCCCGTCATTGAGCAGCTCCTCCAGTTCCACCCCAAGGACCGCCAGGTCATGCTCTTCTCCGCCACCTTCCCCCTCTCTGTCAAGGACTTCTCCGACAAGAACATGGTCAGCCCGTACGAGATTAACCTCATGGACGAGCTCACCCTGCGTGGTATTACTCAGTACTACGCCTTTGTCGAGGAGAAGCAGAAGGTCCACTGCCTCAACACCCTCTTCTCCAAGCTTCAAATCAACCAGTCCATCATCTTCTGCAACTCCACCAACCGTGTCGAGTTGCTGGCCAAGAAGATTACCGAGCTGGGCTACTCATGCTTCTACAGTCACGCCAAGATGGCTCAACAAGCAAGAAACCGCGTCTTCCACGACTTCCGCAACGGCGTGTGCCGTAACCTCGTCTGCTCCGATCTTCTCACCCGTGGTATCGATATTCAGGCTGTGAATGTCGTCATCAACTTCGATTTCCCCAAAAACGCCGAGACCTATCTGCATCGCATTGGTCGCTCTGGTCGTTATGGCCACTTGGGCCTGGCTATCAACCTCATCAACTGGGATGACAGATTCAACCTCTACAACATTGAGAAAGACCTTGGAACCGAGATCCAGCCCATTCCTGCTAGCATCGACAAGTCCCTCTATGTCTACGAGAACCCCGAGTCCATCCCGAGACCCATTTCCAACTTCCGCACCGGCCAGCCTAGCCAGGGCCAGCTGCAGCAGCAGCAACAGCAGCAGCCTGGTCAAATCCAGGGCCAGCAATTGCCTCTGCAGGGTGGCCCCGCACCGGGCAACTGGCAGACTCAGCAGCCTCAGCAAGGCCAGCAGAATGGATACCAGGGCGGCGGTAGAGGCCGTGGCCGTGGCCGTGGTGGCTACCGTGGTCAGAACCGTGGCGGCTATGGCGGCCGGGGACGTGGTCAAGGCCAAGGCCAGGGTCACCCCCAACCCCAAGGACAAACGTCCTAGGGTTCCACCCATCTCATCTCTTTAGAAAGGCGTTGTGGCGTATGCAGTCGCGACGGAACACGCGACTGCGTTTTGTTTGGATTGTACATAGTTCCTCTTCCTTTTCTTCTCTCCTGATTTTGGAGGCGACACGGCACGATTAGACTGGGTCGGGCATCTCATCCATGCTCATCATGAGCATCATGAGCTTTTAGGTCCCCTCACCACTCACGATCACGAAACACGAAAAACAACTCGATCAGACCTATACGACTCGTCGCTAAGCAACAAAACCTTCGTCACATATTCGCAAACTTTTGGCCTGTACCATACCCCAACGGATCTTACTGGTCTTTTGTTTGGCTTCTTTTCTTTTTCCTTCGGCCTTCTGACGACGGGCACTTTCTACCCGGACTGGAAATGCATGCTGTCTGGAGACGACAGAACGAACAAGACGACAGGCTGAGCCATCGGAAAAATAACATCAACCACGGGGCGTGACGTCTAGCATCAGACGAGCCACCACACCCCTGGCATGGAAATAACCCGCTCCCATCTTATCATGTCATGTGCTTCTTTAACGACGGCGTTTGGGGGGAAACAAGCGGCTGAAACGGTATCAGCCCGGAACGGCGTTCGCATGGATGGCGGGCCACATTTGATTTCTGGTGGACAAAAGGGGAGTTGGCCCTCGCGGTCGAGGGCGGCAACACTATGGGATGAGGGCGGTTCGGTAACTCATCTCTGGTTTATGCGCCGCGGTGTCTTTTGAGTATTAATCAATCGATCGCGGAGACGACTGATGTTGGGATATGACACGGAGGGCGACGGGGTGGCTGGCATCCAACGGCGTCTGTCGGAGCACGATTCTCATCATCGTGCATTTTCTTTGGCAGGGGAAGACTTGGTTGGAGGCCCTCCGTCCGGGGTAGGAGGAGGAGCGTTTGTCGTCGGTCGACTGACAAAGCCAAGATACTACTTCTTGGCGCCCGAACTCAAAACGGAGGTTTCGACATGATCCGTTACGCATTCTACGCCTATGCCCTGCTTCTTGCGAGAAGGCAGGCTCGACGGACGACCGCAGAAATACCCGAGTATCATTACGCTTCTTTTCGGCTCTCTTGAGCTCAACCTAGCCCGGCTCTTTGAGTGTCTCGTCTGCCTTGCGAGGTGGCGCAGGCCTCTGGGATGAGCTGGCTTGACTTGGGCTGTTGGGAGAGCGAGCGGCCTCTTTTGGTACTCACATCAACAAGAAAACAACGCAAAAAAAAACTGTTTTGGGAGAGAATCGCTGGATGAGCTGGATGGCTCTCGGACTGGTGTGGTCCTCAGTGTATCACATACTGCCTATGGGCAGAATGTGTCATGGACTGGAACCGGTGGGTTAGATAGTTGTCTGAGCATTTGGAGTGGCAATCAAGGCACAATTCTCTCTCATAATTATTTCTTCTGTGATCTCTGATGTAATGCGTAAAGTCTGTCCTCGTTGGGCCACCAGCTCGCTGTTTCGGCTCATCTGGTTGTCGTTGCGACGCACGATCGACGCGACTACTGCGATTCAGACTGCCGGTCGACATGTCTGACGGGGACGCCACAGCTGGTCTAGGGCTATCACCGGAGCGGCGTTGATAAGTCCATGACTTGGGAAATTATCCCATGTGGCAGTCGTAAACTTCTTCGTAGGATACAACAAGATAGACGGTGTACAGGTCCTTGATTTCACCCAAGGAAGTTATGCTGTATTGGCTCCTTCGCTCGAACATACAAGGAAAAGCGATCAGCCGATACCAGCCTGGGCCGAATACGTGTCTGGAGGGTGGGCTATTGGTATATAAGGGCCTCATTCGTGCCGTTGGTGATGAGGCTGCCAGAGCGAATTTGGGGATTTTGCCGATGATCGTCCAGTGTGGTGTCGCCAAGATCATGCTAGGATGGAAGTCCACGACCATGGCAGAGGCCCATCGGCGTTAGGATTCAGATGTAAGTATATTTCATTCACCGATGAGGTGTCTTTGGGTCGCGGTCGACTTCTTGCGCTTATTCGACATCGTAGATGCTGGAGATTCTGGGCGCGGCCAAGGGTTGAATCTGAGGATTGAGAGCGGCGTCTTTCTGGATGACCTTTGAGAGATGATGTGGCTAATGGCGCCAGGTCCCGCAGCCAGATTCTACAATTCGACACTCCCAATTTCCTCCCGACGCGGGTAAAAATCCATTGCGCGGTGTCTGGACTCTCTGGTTTGCCGGCCGGGAGGTTCTTTTATAGCTACTGATCTGCAGTCTGCAGTCTAGACATCCAGGTAGGAATCCCAAGTCCGATACCTCTTCAAGTCCGAGGTTCTTGGAACCAAAACTCTTCAGGAAGACGTCCCCGTCATCACCGAAATTGGGCACCGTGTTCCTCATATCGCTACTACGGCATGCAAAAAGATTGAGATCAGAGCATAGTCACTGCATGTACGCGCCGCTACCTAGATTTCCTGCACGGCGCATCGGAGCTCACGAGGAGCGCTTGAAAGGCGAGGGATCTAGTTTTTGAAAGCGCGGGGCGTGTACGTATTTCGGGTAGAAATATAATCACGCCGTTGTCGTCAATCTCCGGACCCTGTGAAAGCCAAATAACCATTTGAAAGGTCAAAGTGGCACAAAAAAGTCCGGGTATGGGAGGTTGGTCACGGTGGTTACAGTCACGGTCATGGTGGCTCGGCGCTGTTGCGGAGCGCGAGCAACTTACCTCTGGCGCGCTCTCGACTGAATCAGTCTTTCAGAATGAGTATTTGTCGCGGAGTGAAGCGCTCGATGTCTGTTTTGGCACGAGTTTGGCGGGCCAGAAAAATAGGAAGAGAGTAAAGTCAGCATGGGGACGCGTTGCGGTATTTATCCACCCGAATATTTCTACTGATAGGTATCCATACCTTATCTAAATATGCATCTATCCGCACGGCCCGCACTAGCAATTTCTAAAGCGATGCTATGCATCCCGATTCCATTCACGGCTTAGCCTCGCTTTTTGTGTCCTCAACCTCCTTGGATTTGATGCCTATGGCAAACTTCCTATCATTGGACTCGCCGTTTGCCGCCGGTCCTTCCAAGGATGGTAGAGAAGAATAGTACCCAATACCGAAGTAATGAGGCTGCAATTCGCTGGCTATCGTTCATATTAAGTGTATTCAATCACCTCCGTCACCGATTAATTTAAGGAGCAAGTTGTGAAATTACCAAAGCCGCTTCCCCGTGTCCCTAAATAACCATGGCGCGCATCCCGTTTCCGAACCGAGAACCCTTGCAGTTAGAGATTCATGTTCTCTTCTTGAGCGGACTTATTCCTCCTAGACTTTAAACAAACAGGCACGGGTTATGTCCAAAATCTACTTGAGGAAGGAGACCTGGTTCTCACTCCATTCGCTTCCTTGGCTATACTCATTCAAGGTAACCGTCCCATGGCTGTCCTGCGATGGGTAGTGAAAATACCGATTTTCCTCCATGGTGCAGGTAGTGTGCCAGCCTGAAATCTCGTTTGATAAATGGAATTGGTAGGTGCTAGGACGTGATCCAGATGTGTAGGGCCAAGGGCGATGGGGGGTTCTGCCTTGATGTCGCGTTATGCTGGGCAACCAGGCTTTCTTACTTGTTAGTCTGCAGCTGTGATTCGCTGAGCGAGAAATACGCCTTGTGCGCATAGCATTGCCTCAGTGCTTCTCTAGTCGCCAAGGTGCGGCCCAACCAAAGAACGGTCCAACCGAAGTGTGGCCCAACTCTCTCAGTCCCAGCCTGATCAATCTTTTCAGGCATCTGGTGAAACTTGACAGAAACCACAACAAATCCGATTGATACCGAGGAATATGGTAAGTAGACCCGTTCGCCGAAAGAAGGACCTTGGCGCGACCTCCCTCCGCTACAGCAGACTCACAAACGGAAACAGGCCGACGCGATAGGAACCGCCGCGAGCGTTGTCGGCCTCGTTGTTGCGCTGCTGAAGACTATTCAAGAGATTCGAAAAGCCCGAGAGCGAGTGAAGAACGCGCCAAAAAGACTCGACGAGATCTCCTCGTTACTCCAAATCACGTCGCGGACGGCTAGTCTCGTCAGAGGGGAGCCCAGACTACAGACGCCTGCGGTTGTCCATCAACTCGAGATACTGAACGCAATCGCGGAGGAGCTGGCACAGCTTTCAAATATACTGGAGAAGAAGAGCCGGAAAGACCCGGTTCTGAGTTTCTTTGGTACCTTGAAGACACAAGATGCAGATGAGACTGAGCTGGCCAACATTACGAACCGTTTATCCGATGCCAAGGCAGAACTAGGCACTCGAATACGTGCCATTCATGTAGGTCTGACGGGGAACCTAGAGGATGGCTTCAGAGTTATGCTCAAGGTTCTCGAGGAAATCAACTCAAAAGTGTTCCATGTGCTGGGTGAAAATCTTATTCAAGTTGACCGACTTCGAAACAGAGGTTTTACAATTGTTGGTATGTGTATACCTTATGAATCCCAGATTCAAGAAAGATTACTCCCGCTAACCATTTTTCGCACAGGGAATGGCGCTATCCTTCTCGGGCCAGCTGATATTCAATCCTTGCAATTGGAAGAGGAGCTCCCATCTCAACGGTACACCTCCGGTGGCAGTACGCATGAACCTTGGTTGCGTTAGAAACTTGAGTTTGGAGCTAACATATTACCTTCAGGTCATGTACTGAACTTGTCGGCTTTCGGCGACTCCGAGTTTCTCTCCAACCTTTCTTCCATCTATCCCGATCTAGACACCATATTTCGTTACCATTTTGGATACCAGAGCTCGGCAGTTTCTTTCAATTCTAGCAGGCTTGCTAGTGATCTACAGGAAGAAAAAGGAAAGCCGTTCATCTTCGTTAACGATGAGACTGGACTGGGCCATTCCATGTTCTCATTGTCAGTTCTTGAGCATTTTAGATATCGAAATGATATCACGGCTTATTTCTTTTGCAAAGATCCTCAAAGCGATCCAGGATCACCCATCACAACGTCAACAATTCTCGGTGGATTGGCCTACCTCTTGCTTTACAATTCTTATCAACCGGAGCTTCTGACGCGAATGAATTACACCTTTAGGCACGAGCTCAAAACATATACAGCCGAAGTCTTCCGAGCCAGCTTATTCCATCGCATGCTGGGTGAAATTTTTCGACATGCTGCTTCGCGGCAAAGACGCCCTATTGTGATCGTAGTCGACGGAATAGACTTCGAAGGCAGCGAGGGGGACCGTGCGGACTCAAATATCTCTCGCCTGATATACCACATCCAGCAGCTCCAACATGAAAATCCGGAAACCTGTCTGAAATGGGTCTTGACCGGAAAATTCTCAGATACCTTACGGGGGCGGCTTTTGGAGTTAGGAACGGATGCAGACACTACTGAGATCATCCTGAAACCTGATGATGTGGCAGCAGCCTTTGGACTACAAAAAGCTGTTCAACTTCCCTCTCGCCTAATTTTTCTTGGCATCTGCTGTTAGTGAATGAGTGAGCCTACCACCAAATTACTAACAGCCGAAAACTCTTCACCTCCCCTTGCCGGAGCCCGCATCCGCGATGGCCTCACAGCCGCCGTCGGGCACCGGACTGATGTCGGCCGACCAAGCCGACCCCGAACCAGGCTCCGGGACACCTCCGGAGCCGAACCCCACCTCAAGAGCTAAGCGACGCCGCGACGCCGAGGCACAGCCGACCCGGCCCAGCCTAACGGGAAGCCAGCTTGATGCCACCACCGACGCCCCTACCTCGGCCGAGGGGCCCGCAGCCTCTACCGCATCTGCTCCGAGCGGATCTGCCACAGGGTCCGTCTTGACAGCCCTTGCAGAAGAAGCTAGACAGTACGAGGCACGGAAAGACGTCTTTCTGACCATTGCACGGTCCGTCGACAGCGTTGTCGCCAGCTTTGACGGTTCTAGAAAGCAGATCGCGAAAGAAGCCACTGCCTATGTCATTCAAACCCTCAAGAGACTGATCAATCACGAGACAAGCCCAATAGCGGCCCGGAGTTGGGCGGCTGTCGTCGCACCGATGGGGGGCAACACCACTGCGGCGACCCGGAGCGGCCAGAGCTGCCAGAGCTCTGCCCGCCCGAAGGCCACACTCCCCGCCGAGGATCAGCCGCAGGCGCAGCCGAAGGAGGACCTCCGCATCTTTGCCCGCGTCCCGGAAGAAAGCTTAGCGGCCGCTCGGAAGATCGCACCGTTCGCCGTACGACAGATCGTCTGTAAGGCCGTTGGCCTGGGGCTAGCGGACCTTCCCCACGTCTACCATATCAGCACAGGTTACTCTCTGAAGCCGCGAAACAAGCAAATACAGGAAAGACTACTTACAAGTAAGGCAAAGCTGGCGGAATGCCTCGGCGCCCACCAAGTCGAGACGCCTATCAAGTGGCACACATACGTTGTGCCGCGATGCCCAACAAAACTACACAGCATTGGCGGGGACGTCCTGGACCCAGCCACACTCGTTGAAGATGAGGTCTTCGCACAGACAGGACAGAAGCCTGTCCTTGCTCGACCGTCCCGCCTTGGGCCCAACCCAGTCACGAACGAAATATCTTGGCTCATATCATTCACATCAGAGGTCACGCCCTTCAGGCTCTTCAACCAAAGCGGCAGATCTCTGCCCATCAAAAAACGAAGGACGCTCATCCGACATGACCCCGGCTGCCAGGGCTACCACGCCAACCGGTTCTGCGGACGACGACCGACTTGCAGCAACTGCGGAAGACCTTCC